TTTTTTTTTTTTTTTGGTACCAGAGATCAAACTCGGGACCTTGTGCTCGAGAGGCAGGCAGTGGAACCACTGAGCTAAATCCCTGGTCCAGGAGTACTTTTTCTTGAGTGGATCAGAGAGGCTTTCTGTCCTACTGTTAAGAAATATCTAGAGGACAAAGGTTTACCACTCAAGGCTCTCCTCATCATGGACAATGCTCCTGCTCACCAAGAGATTTGGAAGAAGAATTGGCTGAAGAATTCCCATGGCCCTCAGTCCAGTTCCTCACACCTAATACAACTCCTCTACTGCAGCCCAAGAACCAGCAGGTTATAGCTAACTTTAAGAAGCTGTACACCAAGGAACTGTTCCTGAAGTGCTTCCAGATGGTCTTAGATACAGATTTAACCCTTCAAAGAGTTCTGGAAGGAACATTATAACATCCTTTATACTTTGTTTTTGTTGTTGTTGTTGTTTTGGTACTGGGGATTGAACTCGGGTCCTTGCGCCTGCACAGCAGGCGGTGAAACCACTGAGCTAAATCCCCGGCCCTATAACATCCTTTCCTGTGTGGGGTTAACTGAGAAATCCTGGGCCAGTGTCTCTCTAAGGACACTGAGCTCTGCCTGGAAGAAAGTGTGGCCTAAAATTATACAGGAGAGAGACTTTGAAGGCTGTGTAGAGGAGCCTGAGCCTTCAACTGACCCTGCAGTTGATGACATTGTCACTATAGCAGAGTACGTAGGCTTGCAGGTAGACAGTGGTGATGTTGAGGATCTGGTGGAGGAGCACTCAGAGGAATTGTCTGCAGAGGAATTTCAGCAACTTCTGGCTGAGCAACAGAGAATGGCAGCTAAGGAGCTTTCTGGAGAGGAGGGGGAGCATCAATAATCAGTGCAGCCAAGTTCTTCTGAAATAAAGGAAAGCCTGAAAAAATGGACAGAGCTACAAACATCTGTAGAGAAGATCCATTTAGACAGAGAAAAAGCCAGTCCTTGCATTCACTTGCTTAATGACAATGCCATGTCATACTACAGAACAGTGTTAAAGAAAAGACAGAAACAGACTACCTTAGACCAGTTTTTAGTTCTGAAAAGGTTGAGACCTAGTGAGCCAGAAGCAGGTCCTAGAAGGCTACAGACTCTCTCAAGGAGAGAAAGGACACCAGAGAGCCAGATTCCTGACGTTCTTTTGGAAGGGGCCTCTTCTTCCACATAATAACCACTTTCCATTTCATCCTTCCTTCCTGAAAGCCAAAGATGTCAGCTTGAATGGTGAGTTACAGTATGAAATTATTATTTCTGGTAAACTAGGCACATTTTATAACTTTTTGGTGAATAAACTAGAAAAATTATTGGTGTTTCTGATCAATTACGCACATTATACAATCCTTTTTTATTATGAAAAGGTTAGTTAAGGGGTGCTTTGGGAGGTTCCGATCACATTATGGGTATTTCCATGATTTCTTATGGGAAAAAGTCTTGACTTACAACCAACTTGAGTTACAACCGGCGCTTTCGAATGAATTGAGTTCTAAGTTAAGGGTCCAATGTACAAGGCAGAAGAGGGTGTAAGGAGCTGCAATTGTACCTCTAGTGTTTTATTTCTTGGTCTGGGGCAGACCACGCCATCCTCTACACATTTTTGCCCGATATCTTCACATCTTCCCCGACCTCATGACCCCTCCATCCTTCCTCTGCAGGGGCAAGCCCCGTACAGGCTGCTCGCCTTCCCACCGCCTGGGCAGAACACCGGAGCGTTTGACAAACCACGTTTGCTGCTTCTCTTGAAGTTTGTGTTTTGCTTTGTCCAGAAAAACTCAACTTTCCCATCAACCCCGTGGGTGCGGGGCTGGCAGAATTAGCCAAGTGCCCCGGCCTGCGCTGGTTAAAAGGTGCTGTTCATGAAGGCATCATTTTACCGCTAGCCTCTGAAATCAGGACTGAATCAGACCCAGCCCCTGCCATGCCTTGGCCAAGCCTGCTCCTCAGGGACATAGGATGCCCCTGAGGACTCGAGTCCTCAGCCAGACTCGAGGGGCCCTGCACCCCAAGTGGTGTGAGCAGCTCCCCAGCCTCTGCTGGGTGGCTTCCTCGACCCCAGCCTCTTGTCCCTTCATTCTAACTTGTTAAAGCTGTGAACTGCCACATCCATAAAGAAAAGCACAGAGAACAAAAGTACAGTGTGACAGATGATTATAAAGGACACCCGGGTACCAGCCGGCAGGTCAAGAGCCAGAACGCCTACCTGTTCCTTAAAAAAAACCTCTAAAATTCTGAACCCTTTTAAACATAGCACAGGGACTAAAATAAGCACCGACAGGCCCTCCACTAGTCTGTGGGAACCCTGGTGGCTTTTCTCACATGCTCCAGATTTTTTCTTTTTTGCAATGATCAAACCCAGGGCCTTGCACATGTTAGGCAAGCATGCCACTGCGGAGTTACGGCCCCAGGCCCTCAAGATTTTTCAAAAAGCCAACATTACAGGTGGGAGGGATGTGCTCTGAGTCCACTCAGGCTCCCAGGCCTCTCCCGTCCCCCGAGAGCCCCTGGTGGCCGTCCCTGCCCCCCGACAGCCGCCGTGTCCCGGGCCTCAGGCAGCCGGGCCCTGCACTGCTCCAGGCTGCAGGAAAGGCGCCCCAGCACACGTCTCTTTTCTCCAGCTTTGTGCTTTCCCCTTACTGGTGTTGAGCAGGGGCTTCTTAGCAAGAGCAAAGCTGAAGTTCCGCCAGAGGAATTCAGCTCCCCTTCTTCATTCTGTCTCCTACTGGGGACATTTGGGTTGTTTCTAGTTGTTCCCTTTACGAGCAATGCAGCAATGAACATTCCTGCCCCGGAGGCTCTGGGGGCCACCACTGAGACAGCGTCCAGGGTGAAATCACGGAGGCATCAGCACTTGCAGACACCCAGTAGCTTTCCTGAGAATTGGGGCTGATTTCCATTCCCACTGCTGCAAACAGGGACTCCTGCTTGGCATCTTATCCACTTGGTATTATCAGACTTCACGTGACTTACTTGGTTTCTGAGTCTCAGACTAACTGTCCAATTTCCCAGGAGACCCTCTCTCCCCACACCGTCCCTAGTGCTGTAATGCCTGCTACACACCTGGCCCACGAGACCCCAGGCCGGCTCCTTGTCTGCACAATTTCCCTCGTCCTGCAGAGCCCAGACTCACAGAGCTAAATGCACACTCACAAGTGAGTGATGAGAGCAGCCTTCATCCCAGGGTCGTGAGCTCTAGGGCACCACGGAAGCCTGCAGCGCAGGGTCTGCCCTCAGAAGCTACCTGAGAAACCTCAGCACAGTACACATCCATGGCCTAGAAGCAGCCAGTGGGAAATATCTGAAGCCCCAGGCTGCCCTCCCACTCTGCCCACAACGTGCTGGGGAGGGAGAGATTTCCGTGTGGGCCTCAGGACCAAACAGGGCAGAGAGGGGCCCACACCACAGGCATCTCTAGCTCTTTCTGCTGCCGATGGCTGTTGCTTTCAAGTTTCCTGAAGGTGGCAATCACCGCCCTTGGTATCATTTTAATTTGTTCTCCAAACTGGGGCATTTGACATTCAAATTTTCTTTTTCGTAATTTAAAACCACATGAGATCCATTTGCTATTCCTATCAACCTTAGACACTTATTTCCCACTGTTGAGCTGGCTGCTGGCCGAAGCCCACAACGAGGGAAGGTGTGAAGGACCAGCTGCTTGGATAGGAGCCCACTCCTGACGCCCAGCCAAGGGCTCTCCCCCTCCTCCCACGTGGGAAAACTGTGCCCCCTCTCTGCAGGATCCTGGGCACTACTACGCCTGGGCCCGGCCATGCTCACACCCATGGCCTTTTTATCAGGCAAACAAACAGGAAGATTTGTAAAATACTCGTGGAGTTAAGAATAATATTAGCAGGGTACAATGGTGCACACCTGTAATCCCAGCTGCTCAGGATGCCAAGGCAGGAGGACCGACATTTTGAGGCCACTTAAAGAGACCCTGTCTCTTTAGGGTAGGGGTGTAGCTCAGGGGTTGACTGCCCCAGTAGCAAAATAAAGAAATATCCTTGTTTCCGGAGCATGGCGGGGGCCAGGCTGCACTAAGAACTGCTCACACCTTGGCCGTGTAACAACCACATAAAGCAGGAAGTGTTCTTTTTGTACTGGAGATGGAACTCAAACTCGGGACCTTGCACTTGCAAGGCAGGCAGCGGAACCACTGTGCTAAATCCCCGGCCCGAGCAGGCATTGTTGTATACATGCTACAGGTGAGGAAATGGAGGCTTGCAGAGGGTGAGCATGTTAGCCAGCTTTGCCTTACCGTGACAAAATACCTGAAACAATCGACCTAAAAGGAACAAAAAATTGTTTAGACTCACGGTTTCAGAGGCTCCCGTCTGGCTGTGTGGCTCTGTGGCTCCAGGCCTGTGGAGGATCAGTACGTCTGGGCAGAAGCTCAACTCACCTCACACTGCCAGGAAACAGAAAGACAGGGAGGGCTGGGGCCAGATATTACCTTCCAGCGCAGCGCTCGCACCTGGGCGGCCCGACTTGCCTTTAACTAGGACGCACCTCAGGAGGTTCCACGGCCTCCCTAGCTGGCGAAGAAGCCTCTAACGCTTGGCCTTTGGGGGACAGTCAAGATCCAAGCTATAGCACCAGGGCTACAGTCGGGATGGAGTGAGCTGCTGTGGACCAAATCCTACTCCAAGTCCCATGGTTCAGCCTCCAGCAGCTCTGTCTCCTGGCACTTGCCAGGTGCAGGTTGAGTACAGGTCCATCAGCAAGAGGGGCATTTGATGTCAAGGTACGTCTACACCTGAGCCAGATTTTTAAAACATCTTTTTTTTTCAACCTGTTTTGTTTTGTTTTTGGTACCGGGGATCGAACTCAGGTCCTTGCGCTTCTGCAGCAGGCGGTGAAACCACTGAGCTAAATCCCCGGCCCTTGTTTTGTTTTTTGAGACTGTCTTACTACATAGTTCAAGCAGAACTCTATGTAGCCCAGGCTGGCCTCAAACTTGTGATCCTCCTGCCTCAGCCTCCCAAGTGCTGGGATTACAAGTGTGTGCCGCTACACCTGGCATTTTAAAAAATTTAAACATATCTTATTTCCAAACAGGGTTTTCTGGAAAAATTAAGTCAACGAAACCCTTTTTTAGCTCAATGAAGGCATTTTGTGGTGTTATTTTTTAACTTCTTATTGATGTAAAATATGTCTAATTGGCTTCAGTGTTTCTGAACTCATAATTTAAAGCCCAGGCATTGGCTTAGAAAAGCCTCGTCAGTACGACTGATGACAGGTTGCTAACGAGTGGGAGGCCTGCTGCAGCTGCCTTGCTCTTTTTCCAGGTGCCAGCCCTCAGCTAGGGCAGTGGGCCCCGGCCAGCCACCAGCTGGAGGACATCAACCCCTACGGGCTGGGGGCCGCTCCCTTGCTAATGCCACGGGCAGGGCTGACTGACAATCAGCCCTTCTGGAACCTGCTCCTTACCGGGGCCTCAGAGCCACCACGAAGCAGAGGGGGAACAGAGCCCGGGGCAGGGCAGTGCTGGGCTTGGTAGGGCTCCGTGGACCTCTCCGCTCTGCTCCCTCTGTGCTGGGCTCGCTGTGAGCCTGAGTTCAGAAAGGAGGAGAGCCGGGTTTCTGCCCTGTGCAAGGTGACATGTGGGGACACACCTGGTTACTCCTGTGAGGGTCTCCTTGTATCCCTGCCGCTGCCCAGCCCTAGCCCAGCCCTTCCTCCTCTCTGGCCTCAGTTTCCCCACTGTGAATCGGTGGCAATCCCTCCCGGAGCTTCGCAAATTCTAAGGGTCTTGCAGCTCCAAGGCAGCCTGCCTGAGCGCACCTTGTTGCCCTGTGCGTCCCTACCTGCCAGCCTCTCCTTTTTCTCTCCCTGGAGCTGGCATCTGAGGCCCAGCCCAGCCCCCTCTCAATGCTCCCTGACAGCTGCCTGGTGAGCCCAGGAGCCCATCTGTGTTGCGTCTGCAGGAAATATGACAAGGACACCCACAGATGGTGAGGGAGCCCTAGTCCAGAGCTACGAAGACATTTCCTTAGCTTCTCGGGGTCTCGTTTTGCTCACTGGTAAGATGAGTAGCAGCTGTTTCCTCAGGGACTGTTGGGCTAATTACAGACCATGAAGCAGCAAAGCATCCAGCAGGGTTTGAGGTAGAGTCACTGTCTCGAGCTCCAGGGCCATCCACAGGGAGCCCCTGTCAAGCGCCTGGCACAGGGCAGGCACCTGTTCCATGAAGGAACATAAAGGCTCCAGACCAGGACCCAAAATGCCCCCCCACACCCACCCACAGCCCAGGTGAGGTCAGCAGAAAGCCAGACTCCCCCTGCATAGGAAGATGGAAAGTTCCTTCGCCAAGGGCCTTGGCCTTTGTACAGTACACATCGGCCTAGCAGCAAATGTCAGGCCCTTCAGAGCATGTACTTCACAGCAGGCACAAAGGAAGAACCTAGTCTTCTATGGCTCATAGGAAGCCAGATTTGGGCTGGGCATGGTGGTACATGCCTGTAATCCCAGCACTTGGCAGGCTGAGGCAGGAGGATCATTGTGGCCAGCCTGAACTGCATAATGAGACCCTGTCTCAAAAAAACAAAAAATAAACAAATAAAAATAAAATAGAAAGCTGAGGTGTTATGTACATGTACCAGCTCCCAAGATGAATGTAATTATGTACTGCAAACATGTACTAATAAAATTTTTTTTTAACTGAAAAAGCTGAGGATGTAGCTCAGTGGAAAGGCCCTGGATTCAATCCTGTCACACACACACACACACACAATTCGGGCACTGGCATAAAGTTCAAAGACTTACATCCTGGGAGCTCATGGAGTTTCACAGGTCTGACCCCTTTTGCGCCACGTTGACTTGGTGCTGGCTTCCTCTTGGGGAGAATTTCTTTGTCTTCTTTACCTCCTTTTTTGAGGGGGAGGGTACTCAACTGGCAAACCCAGGGGTGCTCCACTACTGAGCTACATCCTAGACCTTTTTGAGACAGGGTCTGGCTATGTATCCGAGGCTGTCTTTGAACCTGTAATCCTCCTGCCTCAGCCTCCTGCATAGCTACCTGATGAGGGAGCCGGCGTCCTATTCAATTCCCTTCTCCACTACCAGGCTGAGAGACGCGTGCTTCTCCAGGGGGTAAGAGAGTGCCTGGGATGGGGGGGGGGCAGGACTCAGGAAACCCAAACCAGCTTTCAGCCTTTGGCGTCCCAGGTGGTGCGGAGGGAGCCCGAGGTCGCACCCCGAGTGGGGAACAGGGGAAGAGACCTTCGGAGCGCCCGCGGGCCTGCAGGGCGGCAGTGCAAATGCTGGACGCACCCTTGTGTCCTGTACTGGAACCCGTAGAGAAAGGGCGCCCCCCAGCTCACTCCGTTTTGCCCCTTGATAAGGGCTCCGTCGGGGATGGATGCCCTCTGGATTTGGGGCAGCCCTGAGACACCTAACAAACACCAGGGTGGAAGTGTTACTTTCGCGGCTCTGGGCCTCTGAGGGATGGTTCTCCAGCACCTCCTTCTGGCTTAGTTCCCCAGGGACTAAGGACAGGCATGATGAGGAGCCTCGCTCCCTCGCTCCCTCGCTCGGGGTCCAGCCCTCCTGCTCTGCACCCTTCCCAAGCCTGCAACCCGGCCGCCACCAGAGGGCGCTGCAGCCCAGCCCGGGCCTCCGCCCCCCCCCCGCCCCCCACTCCCTGTACCCGTCAATCTTCCGCCTGGGATGGGTGTGCAGGCCTGAGCTCCAGGGACTGGGGTTCAGGCCTCCCCTACCCACAGGTACTGGTAAGTGACTTCTCTTCCACGTGTGACCTGTTGGGAGCAGGATTTCTCGGTGTTAGCAGAAGACTGATCAATATGCAGATTCGCCATCCTGGCCCAACTGGCTGTCCTGTCTGATGCTCGCTGGACCTTGCCTTCTCAGAGAGCACCATGTAATTATACAGGGACAACTTGGGAATCGGTTCCAGCGTACAGCCAGGGCTGAGAGCGCTGGTTAGAACTTGGGATGCGTGCCCTTTTTTGTCACTATGTTGCATGGAGAATTTGAGAGCCACTGCCTTACAGACACTTGGAGCTGGGCAGTCCATCAGCCCGTCCATCATTCATTGGTTTTATCTTTCATTCTGTGGCCTTTCCCTGTGCTCCCAGGGAAACCTTGGGTGCCCTCAGAAGCTGGTACATGGAGACACAGTGTGGACTCACACTGAAACAGTGTTTTCCTAGCTCGTTCATTTTTCTGGTCTCTTGGCCTTGCATGGCTTTCCAGGCCAGGAAAGTATCTAACAGGCAGCCCAGCTGCTGAGCTCCCTGCTTGCTTCCAGTTTCGCCATTAGTCCAAGCCGAGGCAGGCACCCTGGCAGTCCTCCTGGGGCCTGTGTGTGAGGTTCTTGGTCTCTCTTCCCGAAGATGGCTGCTGGGGTGTGGGCAGGTGCATGCTACTTGCCCTCCTATGGTCCAGCGGAGGGACTGGAACATAGCAGGAGCGTGTTCCATCCTGTTGAGAAGAGCAGTCACAGTAGCTGCTGTTTGCTAAGCGCCTAGTGTGTGCCAGGCCTGTGCTACAGACTTGCAAGTGTCATCAGTCATCGTAGTCCCCAGCAGGAGCCTGTTCCTCCGTTTTACAGAAGAGGAAGTCAGGGCTCAGGAAGGTTGTCGCTCACTGGAATCACTAGGGACATCCAGATTTGAACTCACCACCCTCCAACAGAGTAGGCTGATGAGCACTTCCCCCATTCCATGCAGATGGAAACTGGGCTCTGCGTACAAGGCTGTCTTGGAGCTGCAGTTTGGTGGGAGGCAGCAAACACAAACACCAATCGCATTTTGTTCTAAATCCATCTTGGAGGGCCCGTAGGGGTTGAGCCATGTGCATGCCGTGGCAGAGGCAGGGGCTGAGGGGCCCAGGCACCTCTTCTGGGCTCATGGACTCCCAGTGTTCCCAGCACAGCCCGTGTTGCGCTGCCTCTCCTGCCTGTGAGCCCAGAGGGATGAGCACCACCTGTGATGTGCTCAAGGCTGGCCCGACACACGCAGGAGTCAGTGTTTCCTGAAAAGACAGGGCTTCCATCCCTGCAGCCCCCTCCCCAGTCACCCCAGCCACACACCGTACCACTCTCTCCAGCTGTGGAAATTTGTACCTCAGCCCAGAACGAACTCACTGGCAGTTAGCTGCTTGGCTGCCAGGACAGCCAATTGGGTGCTAGCAGTGCCTGGGCCACCTCCAGGAACAAAGGGCTGGGGCTGGACCAGAGGGCCCGGGGGGGTGGGGGGCTGCCCTAGACCTGTGCCCCAGCAGGGCGGGAGCAGAACAGACAAGTAGGCAGGGGGCAGAGGGAAGAGACGGGGGGGACAGCAGCCCCAGCACTGCCTGGCTGCATGGGCTCGCGGGCAGTCCACGGTCCCAGAGCCAGGCCCCCATGCTCACGGCCAGCACATGGAGGCGTCCTTCTGGACGCAGCGAGGTGCTCAGCGTTTTCTCCAATTTCTTTCTCTCCCTATCTTTCCCCCTCCCCCAGATAGGCAAGGGCTTCTGAAAGCTAGATCCTAGAACTCAGCCACAGACTCCTCCATGGCCAGAACAAGGACAAACAGCTATGAGAAGTGGTTTCCTCGTCTCCATTTTACAGCCGAGGACACTGACCCTAAAATAACTGATATGCCCTTATGTTCCGGCCACTCTGATTTTGATCCAGATATGCCCAAATGCTGAATTGGGTTTCCTTCCTCTTCCTGGTCCTGCCTAGCTCTAGCTTGGGGCCAGCCTCTCTAAACTGCGTGCGTGCGTGCGTGCGTGTGTGTGTGCTGGGGACGGAACCCAGGGCCACCAAGCTGCACCCAGCCCCAAGCCTTTGCTATGCCTTCACGCCAGGTCTTCCACTCTGCATTTCCAGACCAGCCCTCAGTGTCCAGAGATAGACAGCTGCCGGCCCTGCCTCCTCCCCTTACCACACAGGGACATCAGGGCCCCCCCAGAAAAGCTTCCACTTTAGGCCTGGGGCCCCAGGGCCAATGGAAACCCATAATTACAAACACATTTGCATGAAGGCCCAGGAGTCTGAGGCTGCAACTAACAGCTCAGTGGGTTTCTGCTCAGCAAAGCTGCCAGAATGGGAGCAGCCACCAGCTTCCTGGGACAAACGCCCCACAGCCAGGTTGGTACATTCAGTATTTATTTAGACACACACATAAAAGAACCGGTGGTTCAAACACATTACGATCCTTTTTTCCCTTTTTGGATATATATATATAATATATATTTTAAAAAGATCAACATATCACCAGTCCCCCGCATGCTTTCTCTCTACTGAGCAATATATACAGCCTATTATATATATATATATGTATACGTATATATATATAATATATATTTTCAATAGATAACTACATTCAAGTAATGAAACACAGGATTTACAGTTTCCCTCTGGGGCAGAGGAAAGCAAATTCACACACAGTTCACAAAGGAAGTACCGTGAGAGCCCAGCTGGCAGGAGCTGAGCCCCTCGGGTCAGGGAGGCAGCGGAAGGTGGGACAGTCACAGTGCTGCTCAGTGGGCAGCGGGCAGGTGCCCACCCGGCTGAGTCAGCCTGCTCCACCCAGGGTTTGGAGGACATGTCTGCCAGCCTTACGCTTCCAGGAGGTGCTCAAATTTGGGGTTCACAAAGGAGAAGCCCGCGAACGCCGTCTGGTCCATGGAGTCGATGAGGTTCTTGTCACTGTGAGACAGGCGTGGCTTCTCATTCAGGAACTCCTGGTCGAAGTTGTTATAGTCTCCGGAGGATTTCTGCAAGCAGAGGTGGGTGCATGGGTGCTGGGGGGGTCCTCGAGGCTCCCAAGTTTCCCAGGACTGTGCTCCCAATTCCTTGGTGGGCACCCAGGCCTGGGGTCCTGGCTGGGCGGGCCAGGAAAGCAGCTCCACAGCAGCCCCATTTCGGGGACGAGGAGTGAGCAGGTGCTCTGGGCGGGGTGAACGACAGGTGGGCTTGCTCCACTCCTGAGCAGGGGCCTAGGAGCCAATTCTCATCCGCCCCCGTTTAAACAGGACTTTTACATGTTTAAATGGTTGGGAAAAAAATCAAATGAATGATATTTCATGACATGCGAAAATGAAGTTCAAATCCCAGTGCCCATAAATAAAGTTTTATGAGTTCACAACTAGTCCACTTGTGAACATCTTGTCTCTGGCTTCTTTACCGTCTGCAAAGCCTAAAATATTTGCTATCAGGTTGTTTACGGGAAGCCTGCAGATTTCCCGCTCCTCAGGATATGGCAGACGGTAACAGCGTGGCGGGGTGGCCCCTCATGCCGCACTGAACCAAGTTGCAGGTACAATCCTTTGGCCCAGCACTGGACTTGGGGAGAGTTTTGTTTTTAATGGCACCTGGGATGGAACCCAGGGCCTTGCACGTGCCAGGCAAGTGCTCTACCATGGAGCTACACCCCTGCCCACCCCTTGCATGGTTTTGATGGGATTTCAGCAAATATTTCCAATTTGGCAATATGACATAAAAACCCAGATTTTGGCCTTCCTTTGAAAACTAGCAGATTCAAGTACCCTGGGTCCACTTCCCAGTATCACCTTATTAACTCCGCACCACGGTTCTGAGAGGTAGGTGCTACTATCCTACCCGGAGATGAGGAAGAGAGCGCAGAGAAATCAGAGCCTTGCCATGTGCCAGAGTAGCGACAAGGATTTTGATCAGGTCTTTTTGTTTTGTTTTGTTTTGTTTTACTTTTGGCTCGGAGGATGGAACCCAAGGCCTGTGCACTGAGCTATGTCCTGCAGCCCTTTTGTTTGTTTTATTGCTAGACGAGGTCTCATTAAGTTACTACATTGCCCAGGCTGGGCTCAATCTTGTGATCCCCCTGGCTTAGCTTCTCAGAGTGCCGGGATTACAGGCGTGCCCACCCACCCTCATCTGGAACCAGGTCTTTATTTTCACTTTTGTTTATTGTTTTGCGGTGCTAAGGATCAAACCCGGGGCCTTGCGCATGCTAGGAGAGCAGTCAGTGGCCGAGCTACACCTCAGTCCTGGGCCCACCCTGCACAGGTCCCTGTGCTCGTCATCACGCCTGCTATATGGTGCCCAGCGCAGAGGAAGAAAGCAATCTGAGCCAGGAGCACCGAATGCCAGGTGCTCTCCTCACACCAGGGCTGGCCTGTTAATGCTTTGCCCGGCAGCTCGGGAGGCCCAGTAGGGGAAGTGCCCTGTAGCCTCAAAGCACTAATGTAGGGCACATTACAGAGGCTTCCAGAAGGGAACAATGCGTCCTGGCAGGTGAGGGGAAGCAGGGGAGAGAAAGGGCGTGGGGAGAGGAACTGTGACCACAGCTGCCCCGAGGCTCCAGCCTGCCTGCTCTCTCACTCTTGTCCCTGGAGGCTTCTGGATTCTGGGCTTTCGTGGATTGCCCCAGGGCTGCCCTCCCCTGGCCTCACCGCTCCATCCCTGCTTCCAAAGGGGCCTCTCAGACCGCTCCATTCCCTGCCTCCTGGGCTCCGGCTGACAAACCCTCCCATGGCAAATGACCGCACGTGGCCTGGGACACCTCATCCTGCCTTGAATCCCAGCTCTCGCCAGTGTTCGAGCTTCCTGCGTGGGCGCCCACGCCCTGAGACCGACCCCTATGCGCCAGGCAGTCCAGCACAGCACCCCCGTCCAGAGTCCACATTTCCACCTCGCACTGAAACGTGGGCTGGAGGAGCGAGGAGAGGAGGTGAGGAGGTGACTGACACCCCGAGCCCTGTCCCCTGCAGTGTGTGCCAGAGGGATGCAGTGAACAGGTGCTCGCCAGCCAGGCGCTGCAGCGTGCACCTGTAGTCCCGGCACCTGGGAGCTGAGGTGGGAGGGTTGCTTGAGCCCAGAGTTCAAGACCAGCCTGGGCAACAGAGAAAGACCCCATCTCTCTCTTTTTTTTTTTTTTTGGTACCAGGGTTCGAACTCGGGTCCTTTCGCTTTCGAGGAAGGCGCTGGAACCACTGAGCTAAATCCCCAGCCCTAGACCCCATCTCTTGAAAAACAAAAATCCAAAAGAAAACAGTGGGGGCTGGATGGCTAATTCCCAGTGTTTCTCGAGTGAGGGAGGAGGGAGGATGACACACGGGCGGAGCCTGACTGAGTGTGCTGGGGGATCGGGAGGCAGCGTGCAGGAAGGGACACGGAAGCGTGTGAATGGTGCAGGACACAAGCAGGGCAAAGCAGCAGGCCATCACGGGCGCGGGAATCACATACCACTTTGGGCTTGAAAGGCGGCTCCACTTTCCGCTTCTCCAGCAGAGGCCAGTTGATGGTCTTGAAGAAGGGGTGGATTTTGATGTTTCCTGTCATTCCCAGCCTCTTGACCGGGTCCCTTTCAAAGAGCTGCAAGCCAGCAGAGGCACTGGTTAGCTGGCAAGGGCCATGAGCAAACTGCCCCGGGCCAAGGCAGGCCCGGCCCGGCCCGGCCCAAGGCGCCCACCTTCTCCAAGACGTCCCTGGACTCCTTGGTGATCCAGCGGGGATAATGCGGCGTGTCCACGCGGATGGACTCGAAGAGCTCGTCCTCATCGTCGCCGTGGAAGGGGGACTGACCAATGAGCATCTCGTAGAGGAGGACCCCGAAGGACCACCAGTCCACGGAGAACGTGTACTTCAGGCCCTGCAGGATCTGGAGAGGAACGGCTGTCAGAGGCAGGTGCCAGTGCTGACGGGGGCGGGGCGGGGCGGGGTGGGGGCACAGGGCCCTTCATCCTCGGAGCCCCGCCTGGCCTGGCCGGCTCCCTCACCTCAGGGGCGATGTAGTCGGGGGTCCCGCAGAAAGTGCTGGCTCGGTTTTCTCCGAATACGTTCTCCTTGCACATCCCGAAGTCAGCTATCTTGATGTGGCCCTCCCGGTCCAGCATCACATTATCCAGCTTGAGGTCCCTGGGGACAGAGGATAGAGTCATCAGAGACAGGGCCTCTCCTCCCAGCCCGGTCCCCACGTGCCTGTTTCCCAGGGCTTTCCCTAAGAGCACGAGGGATGAGAGAGGGAGGGCAGCAGAAGGGAAGGAGGTGCTGGCCCCAGTGCTTCCTCCAAGCACCCCACTGTGCGCCGAGCGCTGGATATACAACGCCCTTTCCCCTAAGCCAAAAACAAGCCTCGGAAGAGGTAATGTCACAGACCCCTGGGCTCACATTTGTCTGACTTCACAGGGCAGCGATCACATTGATTGCTGTCATTAGCCCTTTGAGTAGATCATTTATAGATGGGGGAACAAGCACTAACTGAGCGAAAAAGGCCAAGTGCATCTTCTGTTAAGCTCAACCACCAAGCATGCCCCAGCCCGATCCTAGGCATGGAAAATCACACTGTGCATCTCACCCCACTTTTTGAAACCTGAGTACTAGTACTTGCTATACACTACCCCACTGATTGGTTTTCTACTTGACAGTATCACTTGGCAGCATCCCACATCAACATACAGAGTATGACCTCAGTTTTTTTCATGCCTATATAGTAGTCCACCACTGGACAAGACCATCATTTATTGGATGAAAATTAGATTGCTCAGATGGGGCTTCATGGTGAGATTTGTAGACCCAAGGCAGGGGGATGCTGTAGCTTTCAGTGCTGTCCTCCCTGAAATGACACTGAGTATGGGCAGGAGTTCATGGGTCCTGAGCCATGCCAGCCTCAGCTGCACTGGAGTGATGTTTAGGGAAATACCCAGCTAACGACTTACTCTAAGCAGTGATGGAGCTGGGCCAGGCCCCTTTGGAGCATGTCAGAAAACATGTGGAGGGTTGGTGCTACCGCTCCCAAGAGCCCCCATGGCCCCAGCTCCTGTACCTGTAAATGATTCCTTTGTTATGTAAAAACTGCAATCCACAGATGATCTCGGCTGCGTAAAACCTGAGCAAGAGAGAGGAAGAGTTCATTCCAGAACTTCTGGCATCAGTGGCTGGTTCTCAGGGGCTTCCCCCTACCTCATGCCCAGGGCCAGGAAATGCTGTGAATACCCTGGGCCTGGTCAACCGCGCCTTGTATCAGGCAAGTAGGGGCTGGCGGCCGAGGCAGAACATTCTGAGGAAAGCTCCAAGTAAGCCAATTCCCTGTCGTATGTGATTTGTACACGCGCTGCACTCACCCGGTCAGCAGCGCCACAGTGCCAGTCTGCGGCCACACACCAGGCTCTGCTGTTACTGCCCTGCTGCGGCCCACGGAGCGGACAGGACGCGCATCTGCATGGCTCCCTCAGCCAGAGCTCATGCATCACCCCGGCTCGCTACATGGTGCAGAGGCCCAGGCCACCCCAGGTCTCCCCAAGTCCAGCCTTGGCCCGGGCTGGCTTCTCCAGGAAGGGAAGGAAGAAAGGGCCCTTGCATACGTGGCACGGTAGAGTTCGAAGCGGCCTTTGTCCTGGATGTGGTACATCAGGTCCCCGCCATTGAGGAACTCCATCACGAAGAACAGGTGCTCCTGGGGGAGGCGGGCAGTGAGCAGAGGCTGAGGAGCAGGAGGAGGCAAAGCCCACAGGAAGCAGAGGGACGGGCCCCGGGCTGAGGGGGACAACTCTGCCCTGGGGAATGAGGGGAGACACGGCCCTGCCCTGGGGATTCAGAGGGGGACCGTGGCGCCTGGGCAGTGACACTGGGAGGCCAGGCACCTTGGTCTGGAAGGTGCAGAAGAGGTGGGTGAGAAAGGGGTTCTCCCAGGCGAGCGCCAGCACCCGCTTCTCCACCATGGTGCACTCCACGTCGTCGTCAATCAGCACCACATCCTTCTTGAGGGCCTTGACAGCGAAGAACTGTCCTTTGCCCTTAAGCTCGGCAAGCAGTACCTGCCGGGGGGGCGGGATGCTGAGCAGGCAGGACAGGGGAAAGGCTGCGGCCAACCACCAGGAAATAGCCAGGGTACAGCAGGAAGCAGGTGCCCGGGCTGCCTGGGCTCTCAGAGCCTCGAAGCCACTCACCTTCCCAAAGCTGCCTTTGCCCAGGACCTTGTGGAAGGTGAAGTTCTCGATCCTGCACCTGGTGCTGCCCTCCCAGATCTTGCCGTAGGTCCCGTTGTCTGCTCAAGAGAAGGCACCCCTGACTAAGGTGTCAGTGGGCATGACTCCTTCCCCAGAGCCCAGGGGTCGGTGGGGTAAGAGGCTTAGGAAGGGACAGGGCCTGCTCCCCTGGGTGCCACTTCTTCCCAGCACTCATTGGACAGGCCCTTGCCATGCCCTGATTGGAAATGGGACCTTTAGTGGGGGAAGTGGACTCAGCTTCACCTGGGGCATCATCCCCAAAGACTCCTGGCTTCTTCTCAAAACCCTGGTATATCCCGACAGGCTCTGAAGACCCCGTGTCCTGCTTCCGGGAAGATCTCTGGAAAGGAGAGAGGCAAGGAGGCTGGATGTCAGAGCATGATCAGAGCTCCCAGCCCAGGAGGAGGAGCCCCAGTCATAACTCCCCCTAATGCCAAGGGGGCCAGCACAGGCAGAGCCCAGGCCCCACAGGTGATGTGTGTGACCCCACCAATAAAGCCCAGCGAAACCCTCATGGTCTGGAAGGAACCGACTATACACAGAAGTTCATACAAGTCTTGCAAATTGAATCTCACCTTTTTAACCACTTCATAAAGCTTTGCATTAACTTTATTTGATTGATCCTAGAATTTACCCTAAAGTTTTATGGCATCCCTCAAGCTACACACACACACACACACACACACACACACACACACACACACACACACACAGGTCTTAGTTCAAAGTTGTCCAACAGCCAACCTGCCACCCTTCAGGTTTACCCGAAGGTAAAGGATGGCTTATAAGGCCGGGGATTAAGCTCAGAGGTTCTGTCGGCTGCCTCAAAAGCACAAGGACCGAGTTTGATCCCCGGTACCAAAAAAGAAAAAGACAGCTTATATAACCAATTTCTCAGGAGCACAATCCCACCCCGCTCTCCTCCCCAAATGTTTCAATCAGCTCTTCCAGAAGTGAGGTCTGGGTCTAAAGCCCCACTCCGAGGTTCCCCAAGAGTGCTGGCAGCCCTGACCACCCCAACCCCACTGCCATGTCCAGTGTCCTGCAGCCGATGCCCACCTGGCTGACTTGATTCAAGGCCTCGGCCAAGAGCTTCTGGTTGATGCCGCACAAGTTGGCCACTTTCTCCCGGCACTTGTGGTGCACGTTCATGCCGCAGTCTGGGTGAAGGAGGAGCAGGAGTCAGCCTCATTGCTCAGCCAGGGCCAAGCATGGGGAAGTGGGCAGGAGAAAGGGGACCCCTGGCACTTCCGACTTTAGGGGAAAAAATATCTGAAGGCATCATGAGCATTTCAAAGATTTATGATTTAAAAACAGAAAAAAAATCAGATGTAGGACCTAATTCTAAACCCTTGAAGGCCTGCTGGGGCAACCGGACAAACCACTTTCCCTCAGGGTCTCTGGCTTCTCCTCAGGAAAGGGAGGTCTGCAGCTGCCTCTGCGGAGTACCTGCTGCCCACTGCCCTCGCACTGATCCTCGGGGTCCCACTTCTCCCCCATTTTAAACTCGAGGACACAGCTCAGAGGCGTGGAGCCCTGTCTCGGTCATGTGGCAGGTGGGGTGCTGGGGCTCACAGGCGGGGGGGCACGCACCCTCACACTTTAACCCCTGCTTCACCAGCCCCCATAGCAGGCTACCACAGTGGTCACAGAAGGTGGGGCTCATGTAGGTGTAAACCTTGAACCGATGCGGCATGTCGATGTTGAAGCGCTCTTTCTGGAACTGGAGGGGAGGGGATCGCAGGTCAGGGGTCACGGCCAGCTCCAACCCCTTCCTTCACCCCTAACTCTCCCAAAGCCCATGCATTGCGAGAGGCCCAAGGAGCCCAGGCCGGAGGCAAAGAGGCCTAGGACTGGGAGGAAGAGGGAGCCCCGCAGGAAAGGGTGGGGAGAGCCCAGGCCCCACCCTCCTGGCCAAGCCCCGCGATCCCCAGGCCCTGCCCCGGCTCAGCTCACTATGGTGTCCCGGCTGTTAGTGGCAGTGCCGGTGCACCGGCCGATGATCTTGTCGATGCATTTCTTGTGAATGGCTGCGTTGCATTCTTGACGGAGCAGGCCAGGAGGGGGAGGGGAGAATGGGGAAGGGCAGAGGCTGTGAGCCAGCACCCACTGGCCCGTCCAGCACTCTGCACAAAGCCAGCCTTCTCCCTGACCGCCCACACCCTCACCCACAGAGGCCTTGGCCCAGGGCTTGATTCTTCCCTCCTCCTGCCAGCCTTCAAGGAGAAGCCAAGGAAAAGATGGCGCAAGGGAGATGGCCAGTCGGCAAAGTCTCAGAAACAGGGAAGGTGCGTGGAGTCCCAGTGGCCAGGGTGCTGGGCAGAGGTGAGGCATGCAAATGGATAAATGAGCCTTCCTGCCTTTTTCTGTGGTACTGAGGATTGAACCCAGGGCCCTTTGCACTGAGCCACATCCCCAGCCTTTAAGTCACTAAATTGCCCAGGCTGGGCTCAAACTTGCAATTCTCCTGCCTCAGCCTCCCAGAGTGCTGTGATTACAGGTGTGCGCCACCACGCCTGAGCACTCCCCTTTGTACTTCTATATCGCAGGAGAGCAAACATCTCCTAAACTCACCCTCACACATGCACACCAACACACCCCAACACAAAGACACCACACATGCATACAAAGATGCAAGATCATGACAAAAATCTTATATTGAATTCCTACCACAGTTAAGTGCTTTAACTCTTGGGCACTTAAAATACAGCTTTACAAATCCACTGCATCTTCGCACTGACTCTATTAGCCCTAGTGTATGGACAAGGAAACTGAGCCACAGAGGGCTAAAATAGCTTAGCAGGGCTGGGGATTTAGCTCAGTGGTATCCACCTGCCTCGAAAGTGCAAGGTCTTGAGTTCGATCCCTGGTACCAATTAAAATAGCTTAGCAAAGGCCCCGCGGCTAGGAAGTGGGAGAGCAGCCTGCTGCACACACCACCGAGAGGAAGGGGTGCTCACAGCTGCGCGCCAGGGCCCAGGCAAACTCCTCGTGCATGCGCAGGCAGGGAAGAGCTAGGAAAGGTCTCCGGGCCGCCTCTGGGGAGAGCCCCGATGGTGGCCTGGGCTTTCTGTGTACACTCAGTACGGCCTACACGGGGCCTGCACACAGGGCTGGGAGGGCACCCGGGCCTGGCCTTGGCCAGCTGGGTGAGGAGGCCCGCACTCACTGACACAGCCACTCCGCCCACTCGGCTTCCCTGATGGGGGTGCACTCAAGAGCACACAATGGCCACCCAGACACGGTGCGCTGAGCCGGGCCCACGCCGGCCCGGCCATGGAGGTACTTACGCCTGCATTTGTAGCCTTGTTTGTTGAGGCCCCTGAAAGGAAAGCGCCAGGCGGGGTGAGCGAGGAGAGCTGCGGGCTGGGCCTCTCACCCCGCACCATCAGCAGTGGGCGCCCCGGCTCTCACCACACAAACTCCTTGCACACGGAACAGAAGGTGGGCTGCCCAAAGAAGGTGGCGATGAACTCGTGGTTCTTGATGCAGTGGATCTTGGCCTGCTTGATGGCTCCGCGGCGGTTCATGGTGGGGAACTTGCCGTCTTCCTCACTGCGCATAGACTGTTTGCAGTCTGAGGAATGTTGGAGAGGTGCGTCAGCCCACCAGTCGGGAGGGCAGCACCCCTGCAGGCCCTTCCAGGGCGAGCCCTGTGGGGACTCACCCCCGTCCTCCAGGAAGTACTGCACAGACATCAACACCTTGGCCTCCGGCTGCAGGTCCAGCTGTGAGGGCAGGAGGGGAACAAGTCAGTGAGGGCGGGCCTGGGCCTGATCAGACACAGACTCGCCCCCACGCTGCCCCCCAAGGCCAAGAAACCTACCTGCCCGGTGGGCAGGCCCCGCCCACCCGGCCCCGCCCCTACCCAGCACCCAGGGTATTATTACATTTGGGGAAGTGAAAGGGTCCGGCCTACGCCCCACCAGGCCACATGGCCTAGGCGCAGAACAGGAAGGGAACGTCCCATGCCCACCCCTGACCCCCTCAGGACGCAGACCTGCCTGGGACATCCTCCCTGGGGGAGCAGAGAGCACACAGCCAGGGACCCCTCTATGCCTGCGTGGCTGCTCAAGGCTCAGGGTCGCCCGGGTCCAGCTCTCCCCAGTGCTGGCTCACGGAGGCTGATCAGAGCCTCTGATGGTCACAAGGAACCCACAGGTAACCTGGCGGTTTCTGTGAGTGCGGCCTCCTGTGGCTCCCCAGGGCCCTACCACAGATGCACGTGGCCATGTGGCCATGTGGCCACAGGCGAGTGCAGAGACCCAGTTTCAGCAGGTGAGTGGGTAGGGCAGCCAACCTTCCCCTTCTCCCACCTCTTTGCTGCTAAAGATCAGGATGTTGTTCCGCATGCCTGCCTAGTCCTGGAACATCGGGCAAGACTCCAAAAAGAAGCAGAACAATCAGCACCTCGCTAGGGCAGGCACGAAGCCTTTCATCTAGTTGGAAATATTTTATTAGGTGATATCCAGCCTTTTCGAAATTACAGGGACAAAAGTAGTTGCAACAAGGAAGATGGCTTCCTTTAGCACCCACTTCATGTCAGGTTCTCCAACAAGCCCTTGACATGCCGGGGCCTGTTTCATCTAACAACAGGCCCTGAGGGAGGGCTTTTAGTAGCCTCTTCTCTTATATGAGCGAGCAGAAAGAGGCTCAAAAGATGCTGAGGACCTGGAAGATCACAGAGCCAGGATTTGAGCCAGGCTGGTGCCTTCCCCGCACCCCCTGCCCGCCATGCCCCTCACCCAGAACTCAGCCTTGCCGTTGTTCTTCTTGCAGCGCTCAGCCAGCACCGACACGCCCACGGTCACCTCTGACATGGGCTCCTCAGCTGCCCGCATCAGCACGATCTGGATGACGCGGCCCTCGTAGATGTGAGCGTCAAACGTGGACTTCCACTCGGGATACATGGTTGGCTTCTTCTGCACCAATGTCTTCCCTCGCTCTGCAACAGGGCCAGGCAGGCAAGGTCAGGCCAGGGCCTCTCTGTCCCTCCCTTTCAGCCTCCAGCCTAGCAGAATCTGCTGCCTCTCCTGGCCCAAGGGTCTTCTGTCGGTCCCACCTCTAGGTCTTTGCTCTTGTTCTTCCCTCTCATGACGTTTTTTGTTCTAGCTCAGTGATGGCAAACCTTTTAGAGACCGAGTGCCCAAACTGCAACCCCAAACCCACTTATTTATCTCAAAATACCAGTACTGCAATTAAACCTGAATACTGAGGTTTTAGTTTAGAAAAAAACAACTCCTACATTAACACTTTATGTTTTAAAAGAAAAACAAATAACCCAAGTGCCACAGGTTCGCCACCACTGTCCTAGCTCCACTTAAATGTCCCCTTCTAGATGTTTTCACTCAGTGAACACGTGCTGAGAGCTGCCAAATGTCAGCCACAGTTGGAGGTGAGGAACATGAAGAGATAAAAGTTACACACGGCACCTGTCCTCCTCAGCCCCAGGTCCAGTCAGAGACACGGGCCCTCCCCCAATAACCACTAAGCCACAGCTGTGATGAGACTGGAGCGGTCAAAGCCAGGGCCTGACCCAGCCTTAGCGCCCACTGGCTGGCCCAAGGGGCGAGCAGAGGATGGCCAGGTGGACACAGCGCAAGGGAATAGTGGAGGTGTGGCTCTTCTGGAAGTCCTTCCCACCATAAGCTGGCACGGTGCCCTCTCCAGGCCTCCTCACCACAGCTCTCATGGCCTGCTGACAAGTTCAGCTCCCCTGCCTGAGTACGAGCCCCAAGAGGGCAGGGCCAGGTCTGTCTCAGGGCATGGCCCTCAGTACCAGCACAGCGCCGGGTTCAGATAGACATGTGCAAAACGTGGGGTCAAAAAATGGGGCAGGAAATCCAAGGCCTGAGGCCCTGTAGAGACTGGGCAGCCTCTGCTTTCCTAAGTCCACCCTTGCGGAGGGCAGGGAGACAAGGAAGAGAAGGACCCCTCACAGGATCTAGGGACAGGAAGGTCCCCTCCAGCCCCCCTGCTGAGCCCCACAGCCCTCTCCAGGGTGCAGCCCCAGTCCTACCGGTGCTGAGTGCCTCCTTCATCTTCACAGCGCAGAAAGGCTGGCTCGCCTCATCCTCAGCCTGCAGGGAGCCCAGCTCGTAGGAGTTGAAGGCGATGCGCAGGAATGGTGCCATGGTGGGGGGGGGGCCTATAGCAGGGTTGTGAACAGAGAGGGGTGAAGCCAGAGAGCAGGGGGCACAGCAGGGCAGCCAGGAGCCACAGGGCACTCACTCTGTTGAATCTGGCCCATGTGGCACATAAAGTGCACTAGTCTCAGTGGCCAGTGTTACAAATTGGGAAATTGGCAACCCTGGTAAAACCAGATGTGACATGAGGCCACTGGGCAGCCTTTGTCAGTCTACCCCAGGCCAAGGCATATCTTCACTCTTCTCTAAAACTGGGCCCCAAGACTCATCTGGGGAGTCACCCAGTGGCCCCCTTAGCAGCCAATTGCTGGGCACCTACCCAGGTGCCAGGGGCCTAGTATGTGCTGGTTTCCACGCCTCAGTGCCAGCAACTACTAAGAGGGGCAGGACAGCCCCCCTCGCCCACTTCCTCCTGCCCTGCCCCATGCAACCCTTTTGGTTCTGTTTGCTCATAACTACCCAGGGGGATGAGCGGGGGTGCAATAAGCACCATACTCTTCAGATGGGGAAACTGAAACAAAGGCTGAGCCAGAAATGAAAGCTGAGATTCCACTAACTTAGCGCCCACTTTGTTCAAGAGCAGGGGCAGTGAGAAGCTCTGCCCACAACAGTGTTCCTGACCCTCCTGAAATCAAGCCCCTTGGTGGCACATGCTGTCTGCTACCTGGAAGGCTGCCTGCACTTTCCAACTGATTTTCCGCCCAAATAGGAAACTCCACTTTAATGTTGAACATAACGCTGAATGCCCTTTGCACATTCACATGGGTCGGCTTCCACACGACCCCTTTCTTTGCTGTTTCCCAAGTCAAGAGTCACTACAGGAGGTGACCCCAAGTGTCTTCCTGGGTTGCCATTTGTAGAGGACACTTGTATATAAGCCACATGTACACACTCCTACTCCTACATAGGCCTCCAGACCCAAGCCACACACAAGGGTCCTCCATAACCATGTTCGAGTGAATGCTCCCTTGTGTTCCTGCACACACACACACACGCACACACACGTACTCCACCTGGAACAGAAGCTGGGTACCTGGGGCAGACAGGCACATACCCTCACCCCCACACACGTGCACACGCACAAACACACACCACAGCTGCCTGGCCCCTGGAAGAGCTCCCTCCACTCCTGTGCAAGGCAGCCAGAGCAGGGGTCAGGTCTTCTGGGAGCTCCCAGCCCAGATGAGCTCACAGGAAACACTGACCTCAGCCTGCAGCCCAGCCCTGTGGCAAAGCCAGTCCTCTGAAGCCAACAACCAGAGCAGAGAAGGAACCAGGCAGGGCAGTTCCCACCACATCCCCTGCCAGGACCTGGTTCCTGCAGTCAGAGAGACAGTAGGTGTGCAAGCTCATGCCTAAGCCCCGCCCCAAAGACTCTGGCCTGAGGCCAGAAGGTGAGCGCATACTGGGTACCAAGCTAGCCACCCACATTCTCCTGGTGGGCAAAGAGGGAGCGCCAGCAGTGGGCGCTGTGGGCTCTTCTCTGGGCTCCTGCAGGCGTGAGGGTGCACGTGGGTGTGACGGGTCTACAGAGTGTGACTTACACACCCACAGAAGTGTGTGCAGCTGTGAGGTCATGGGAGTGGGTAGTGGGATGTGGCAGGAGCTCAGCTGATGGTGGAGTGAAGAAGCTGCCTGGGCCTGACCCTGAGTGTGTAGGAGTCCAGGTTGGGGTCCTGAACGCCCAAGCAGAAAGGATACCTGGCCCCTCCTGCCACCTCTCACTCATGCACCTCTTTCCAGTCCTCAACATGCATCTCTGCCATCTGCTTACTAGTTTGAGGAGACAGTCCTGGTTACTGACCCCATGTCTCAGAAAATCAAATCTGAAGGAACACAGGCATCCAGCACTCTGCACACCTGCTGGCCAACTTCTCCCTGCCACCTCGCCATGGGGCCCAGCCCTAATGCCTGCAGGCTCCATGGCTTACTCTGCCCCCAGTCTGCCCAGCAGGAGCTCTGCATGGGGATGCATGGAGAAGGGACAGAGAAACCTTGGGAGAATGAGGCAGGGCCCAGGACCAACCCCCAGGCCTGCCCTTGGGCTCACACTCAGCAGCTGCTGCTCACAGAAGCCACTGGAAGGAAAGCCACACCCACAGTGGCAGGGCCCTAGCCCTAAACCTGCACAGCCAGGCCACAGTACATGAGCAGAGGACCCATGGTCTCTGGAACACCACGGGCTACCCGGCAGGACCCCTAGGGCCAGATCACTTAGCTCCAGCTTCCCAGGACTAATACTAAGGTAAAGGACTTAGTCTGATGCTTCCACCCCTTGGCCCTCCACTGGACTATCTAGACCCAGAAAGGAGACAGATACCATGAGTGCATCTGCTTCTACCGCTGTGTGGCCCTGAGAGGTCCAGGGCCTCTCGGGCCATGGTGCCCTCTCTGTTCAATGCAGTCAGATCCCACCCGCCTACCTGGAAGCGTCGGAGCAGCAGTGGAAAGGTGAGGGGTGAGGCAGCTGCACAAAAGCAAGGTGTGCCTCTTATTTATAGCGTCCATGCAAATAGCCTAGGCCCATGGGCCCCCAAAGGAAGGCCACTGGCTCAGCCTCAGACTCATCACAATTTTGCACGGTCAGAGGGTAGCGAGGGCCGAACCCCACACAGCCCTCCATGGGGACCAGCCAGGCCTTCCTCACAGTCTGTGGGCTCCGAGCCTCCCTGCGCCTGCTTCTTCAGCCCACAGGAGACGCAGCCCTTTGAAGCAGAGAGCACTGGATTCAGGGTCCAGTGGTTTAGATTTGACTCTTAGCTTCTCCATTTTTAGGGCCTGTCCTTTTCTGAAGTGGACAGTGTGCCAGATCAGCTAATTGGCTTAGCTCACTTTGTCCCTATGTAGCCCCCAGGGGATGGATATTTTAGGGATGGAGAAATAGAGGCTGAGAGAGGTTAAGGGGCTTGCCGAGGTCACACAGCCACTGAGTTTGAATTCAGGCCTGGCTCATGTTGCAATTCATACTCTTTCCACTCTATGTTGGGAAGAGAAGATGAAGGGACAGAAAGGGTAGAGATGGAGACAAATATGCCAAGAATAGCAGATACAAACAACACACAAAGCCAGAAAATACTGTAGTAAGGGTAGAAGAGCTACACTTGATCAATGTATTTACTCATCCCAACTCCTACTCCCGGCTGAGGCCCAGGCTTAATCCTAAGGACCCCCATCCCCTGAACTGATATCTTCTCCTCTGACCTGGACTAACCTCTAGTTGCCAAAACCCGGGGAACTGGCCCAGCTCCCTACCCTGCCCTAGACCAGCACCCTGGAGGTAAAGAAAGGCAGTAGTCAGACCAGACCAGAGCAGGCAGGTCACCTCCTCCAGGGCAAATAGAAACCTGATTCCAGCCAGTCCAGGAAGGTGAGTGAAGCCAGCCTCAAGGTGACCAGAGTGGCTGTACTGTCAGAGCTCCAGCTGGGTGACCCCCAACGGACAAGTGTATAGCTGCATATCCACAAGCGAGCAGACGTATCCTTGCAAAGTAGGCCGGGATACCGGCAGGAGCTGAAATGCATTTCCTAATTTTTCTACAAGTCACTTGCTTGAAACAGTTTTGTCAAAGGTCAAAGATAAAACCCACCAAGCTAAAATGTCTCCAAAAGATAGGCCTTCGGAGGCTGACCTGCCCGTCTCATTGTACAGAGGGGAACATGAGGCCAATGTCTAGCGCAGGGGGTCCTCTGGCTCGCTCCCCTGGTGTTCAGTTCTGCCTCACAGGCCCCAGGTGATGTGCACTGGATAGAGAAGTACACGGAGCTGGAGATGGCCAGGCTGTCCAGGGACTATGTGAACAGGCTCAAGGAGAGATCAGATACAGCCCCTGGCAGCAGACACGGGAGCGGGGCGGGCAAGAGAGCAGGGGAGCCCTCTCCCCTGCACCCCTCTCCCCTCCCCTCCACACCTGACCAACCTTGGACTGGCCCCTGCCCCTTGTCCATGGAAGGTGCCTCTGCTGCCAAGCAAAACTGGGTGGCAGGTGGCAGCAAAGTGGGCCCTCCTGGGGATGCAGTCCTAGGCCTTGAGGGAAGCGGGGAAGGGCTGACGTGTCTGGTCAGGGTGCAGGACACAGTGGGGATCAGTGTGATCAGCAGGTGACAGCAGAGCTGGCCCTGATGGCAGGCAAAGGGCCGCCAGGCCGGGAGGCAGGGAGGGTAGCTTGCCAGCATGGGCGGCCTCCCAGATGGCCTTCCCAGACGGCACTAGGTCAAGGAGGCCACAGGGGCTTCACAGCCCCGGAAATGGGCTCAGCAAGAGGAGCGGGAGGCGGGGAAGGAAAGGCTGGCAAACCTACTCTAAGACCCCTCCACCATGGCCCATCCTCGCCCCAAGTGCCTAGGCCACAGCCGAGTCCCAGAGCAGGGATGCCGCCACTGCATTCCTGGCCAGCACTGGCACCTCATGCCTGACCAGGGCTCCTCCTCGACCTCTCTCTCACCTCTTGCGGACCAACCACTGCCTTCGGACTCTCATCCTCAGACTCCCCGGAGTTCTGCTGTTCCTCACTCCTGTCCTTCAGGGGGTGTCACGCCCCAGCCATTCTTCTCACAGTGGGCGTCTCCTGGACTCCCACTGCCCTGACACAAAGCCCAGACCTCAGCCTGGCACTCAAGGCACCCCACACCCTGCCTTGGCCTGCGCTCCATCTCAAATCCTGCTCTGGCCACTCCATACCTTTCTAACCTTAAGCTCCCAGGGACTCCGCCGAGTCAGAGTCAGAGACAACAGGTGTCTTGATCTGCCCCTGCGGCTGAGAGGGCAAGGTAACGGAGAGGTGACAGGGAGCACTGGATGCTGCTTCTGGGCACAGGCTCCATAATCAAGCTTTGGGACGGGCGGGGGGAGCGCCTAGGTACTCACACAGCTGGCTTCTCAGCCAAAACGTCCTCCTCCTGAGCCCTCACATCCTTCCAGGCAGTGTGAAAGGCCAAGCCTGGGGATCCTTCCCCATTCCCCAGGAAGCCAGCTGCCTCCCTGCTGACATCTGGGGTCATTTGAATGTGAGGACCAGGCTTTGCTGTCTAGGGCTGTCTCCGCCGCTAGCTCAGTCTTCTCAGCCCTGGCTACGCAGTTGACTCTCCGGGACATTTCAGAAATCCTACTGCCAGGTCCAGCCCAGGCCCTGGAATCCAGTGGGAATCAGTGGGGCCCAGGTGGCATGACTGTACCTTTGGTGACTGCAAGGGGGGTGGTTCCATCCTAACCATCCAGTGGAAGTCAGGGAACAAATGTGGTGACACGATTCTGCGAACAGCAAGGTGGGGGCGAGAGGTCCCAGGTAACCCCCAGCTCCCCTCAGGCTCAGCTCGAGGGCACCAAAAGGACAAGACACGCAGGCCAGCCGGCGGGGTGATGAAACTCACAGTCACAGAGCAGGATAAAACCACACCTTCCTTCATCAAACAGTGACAACAGGGAGTGAGAGGGCTAGGGCCGGCCAGGGCGGAGGGGCCTCCAATCTCAGGGTCACAGCCCAGGCTGCCGGAGGGACTGGAAGGGTCCTAATGGCAGGACTAGGGACCAGCACAGGTTGGGGCAGGGCTTCACTTAGGGGACTTGGGGCACAGGTCTGGGGCCCCCCAGCTGCCACTCCCCTGGCTCAGCCACAGGGAGGGCTCCAGGTAATCTTGAGAGGGGAACAAAGGCCCCTGCATGGCAGGACCCAGAGAGGCAGCTCCTTTGAGGACAAGGGGTCCTCCGTGAGGAGCCAAGTGGGGTGAGGGAGTGGATCTGGGCCTTTCCAAGAATAACCACACACGTGTGCACACACGGGCACAGCCACCAACCCAAACAGTTTCCCGCGGAAGCTTCCCTCGCAGCTGGACATTCACACCTATCGGCAGCCACAGGGACACGTGTGTGCAAATGATACTCAGGGGCACACACACATAAATGCACCCCGCTTAGCAGCTCTCACGTGCAACACACAGACCACACCCAGCCACGCTGTAGCTACATGCACATGGGACGCCATGCTATAACATACACACAGGCACTGGCACCCTCCAGGCAGACATGGAGATGAAGACACATGCCTGGAAGGGCCTTGTATGCCTAAGTAGGATCTGGCAGTCCCCCTGGGGCACGAGGCTAGGGAGACAGAGAGGGGACGGGAGGGGCAAATCCAAAGTGGTCAAGGAAGGGGTGAGCAGGACAGGCACCTCACAGGGTGCCCACTTTCCTGAGGGCCCTGAGGGGGCTGAGGTTGGGGCCACAAGTGACAGTCACCAGCCTGGGGCATGAGAGGAGGGAAGGCTCAAATTTCTGCCTGTGGGGACAGCCCACACATGACCTCCACAGGTCTAGGCTCACTGGGTAGAAAAAAAGAGCAGTTGAGCAATTTAATCAAAGCCACAGAGCCAAGAGGGTAGACCCAAGGAGGGGTGGAAAGCCTCTAGTTCCAGTCCTGGAACTGCCCATTGGGCTGCAGTGGGGCTAGGGGCTGTTTGCTAGTGGGAACAGCCCTCCTACCAGCCCACAAAAGTAGTCCCAAGTTCACTCCTTGGCCCCTTCCTCTCCCACAGAGCATCCCCAGAATTCTCCTGATTGTCTACAATAAGAAACAACTGCTTGCATTTGGGAGAAGGCAAGGTTGCCCCATAGGCCTTTTATTATCTGTCCATTCCTCTGAGGTAGGCAAGGCCCAGAGGGTACCTTCCCACTTCAGGGATCTTGAGAGAGCAGACAGAGGCAGGACCATTCCACAAAGTGCGCCATCCGCCCACACGCAGTGAGCAGAGGAGCTGGTGTGCTTGTGCCTGAGTGGGATGGACAGGTCTTGTTCAGAGCTGCAGAGCATGGCCGAGCCTCCCTGGTGTCATCTGTAATGCAGCACTGGATCGGGGGCAGGGCGGTACTAGGGGTTGAACCCAGGGCCTTCACACTCGCTCTTTTTTTATTTTTTATTTTTGAGACAGGGCCTTGCTAAATTGCAAACCTCCTGCCTCAGTTTCCCAGACTGCTGGGATCACAGGCATGTGGCATCATCCCGGGGTGTGGCATTGATCTGGCACATGACAGACAGTACGCTGCGCACAGGGCCTGGCACAAAGGCACTGGCCACACCTAGAAGCCACTACTACCATCCTTATCACCACTGTCATCCGCGCACACACGTTGCCCTCTCCCGTTGCCCAACTATCCTTCTCTAGCTGCCCTTGGTAACCTGAGGGGCCCCCAAACTGCCTTGAGTTAACAGGAAGAAAGGCTCTCTACAGTTTCTAGCCTGCTGCACTGGGAAGCATGCAGGCCGGGCCAACACAGCCTGCGTCCACCAGCAGAGCCAAGATCGCCAGCCGCCCCTCTCAGGACCTCGGCCTCTCTGTCTTGACAATGGAGGCCCCTAAACTTTCTTCAGTCCTAATACCGGAGGCCCCCAAGACAATGCCTGCCCTCTTCCCATCCCTCGGGCCCACAGCCCACACCACACAGACATCTGATCCTGGCTGCTCTACTGCACCTGTTTACCCAACACAGCCATAGACATGATCCAAAGCTTCCGTGTCTGTTGTGAAAACAGCAGCTCAGCCACCACAAGCCTGCCCTCCTGGTGCCTGGGCAGGGACCTCTGAGGGACAGTCACCCAGCCCATGCCCAGGCCTCTCCAGCTTCCCCACTGAGGCCTGCTGAGACCTCCCCTCCCAACCCACTTTCAGCCAGATGCTCCTGCACTGCTGACATGAGGCCCCACCTGCCCCCTCAGCCTCACCATGTGAGTCTAGAAGCTCTCAGATCTGCCCACAGCAGCCTCCGAGTGCTCCTCATCTGCTAGGAGCGCCCTCGCCCACGCTCACGCGGTTGGCAGGCCAGACACCTGGGGCCGGTGTTCCTCCTGCCTGCCCTCCCCGGACAGCCTGCTACGGTGTCTGCCTCTGCAGCGATGGGGACCTTTCTTCCCCCCATCTCCCGCCACTGGTGCCATCCCCAGGCTTGGCACCTGCCTGCCCAGACAGAGGTCTCCCTCTTCTTCTCTGGCCCCCATGCTCCCACTGCAGCAGCCTCAAGAGGGGACTTCTCAACCCTGCTCAAGCCCCCATTGCTCCCCGTTGCCCCTTCTATCAGCCCAGCCTCCTCCACCTGACTGTCCCTCCCAACCTCCCACCCTTACCCTCAGGAGCTGCCCTGCCCCCAAGCTGGTGCCTCCGCCACAGTGACTCCTCTCATCTCCCTCAACACCCAAGTCCCTCCCACTGAAGACCCTCCATGCTTACTGTTCTGTCTTCCTGCCCACCCACATCCCCACCAGTGGTGCCTTTTTACATTCAGGTCCTACACGGACACTCCCTGACCTACCTATTTCATGGATGTGGCAAGGGAGGCTCAGGGCCATCAATCCCTGGCTCAAAGGTACCTGGCCAGTAAATATTAAACCAGGGTCTGTCTGATGCCAGCAGAGGTGCCTGCCTGCTCCCAAGCCTTCAGGCTGTCCTCACGTACAGTTGCAGCCCAGGCCCTGGCCCCTGCTGGTCTCCAGCCCTCTAGCTTCCTGGGCTCTGCTTGATACACCATCATCAATACCATTCTTCAGCACCACATCCCAGCCTCTTGATTCCAAACAGTGAAGACCAAAGCTCAGCCCAGTCCTTACTGGTGACATGCGTGTCCCTGGGACAGGCGGGCCCCTGCCACCGGCTGCCATGTGACATAGACACAGGCGTGCACGTGTTTGCAGAGGGATTTCTAGCTCCTCCACTGCTCTAGCCTCCAGCAGTCCCGGATGTCTGCCCTCTTCCTCAGCCCAAAGGCTAACCCCAGAGGTCCACAAGGCACACAGCTCACCGCCCACCCCTCATTCCCAGCCCATTCTCCAAGCCTGAAGTCCTGCAGCAGGCCAGAGCCAGGAGACAGGAGGATCCCTGAGGGTGCAGCAGGCAGCTG